TTTACATAGAGAACTCAGACAGAATTCATTATGGGAGCAAATATAAAAGCACAAAATCTGAAGAAGATAAAGAGGGAAATTTTTACAATATCAACACTGAGGATCTTTAAATATGTTTACATTTGCATAGCTTTTCTAAAAAAGAAAGGGAAAGTTGAAAAGTAATGAGAACCAAGAATGAAAGAAGTCGATGATTGGCACTGCCACTATTGAACCACTTCTTAAGGCCAGGCAAGGCTGTGTCGGGCGGGCATCAACTTACTTGTGTTGACTGCTGTGTCCTTTTAGTAAGTTTTAAATTGCTTTTCCCTAGATTTATGAGGGCACAAGGGACTGTGTAAAAATTACTCCAAACATTAGTAAGACTCTGGAGAAAATAAGGTACATATTTCATGATTAGTCTCCTAGTTTTTTCAAAATATAACCTCTATCTCTTCAATATGTGGCTCTAGAACACATGATAATTTCATATTTCTATCAGCATTACTATTACCTTCTGTACTGATAGTATGGGCACAATAATAGAGCTTTCTGGGGAAATATAGATCACTACCTATTTAAATTGCTTTATTCATAAGTTTTAAAAAGTATTTCTCTGAAGAAAATATCTTTCCATGAAAGAGGCATACAAGTGTTCTCCACACTGTGCTGTGGCTTTACTTTCTGTAGGGCCCTGCCGTCACAGTCCCTTTTTCTACACTTTCCTCTTCTGTTGCTACAATAGAACCTGTGAGCACAGATTCTTCAGCATAACCCTCCTCAGCAGAATAAGAAATAGCACTTATGACTGCCTATGCATGCTGCAAACTTCTGGCAATTAATTTCAATTAAGTTATTTACAAGGTGTGCCACTGCTAACTTTGTGCCCAGATGTTTCACTTGGCAAAACGTGGCGGCCACCAATGAAGTCGGTTTCAGCAACAATCACTCATTGATGGGATTTTCGCAGTGAATTCACAGCACCTTCATAACACCAGTGCATGATGTCATCACCTTGCCCCTCATCCCGACCATAAAAATGCCAATACAAGTTGCAACAAATGACTGCGGGCAATGGCTGAGTTCTAGAGAGGCTGCGTTGAACACCTGGGCTGTGGCGGAATCTAGCAGCTTTCAAAGTTTCATTACCAGATGTTTGTGGAACAACTTATGCATGTATGGAAAACATACATTATTTTTCATTTGCATGAGTGATTACCAGAACTTTGGAAGTAGTGGAAACATGGATTTCTTTTCTTTTTTAAAGGCTAATGAAAATTTACTAGGGAAATATTTTTTAATTAAAATCAGCACTGTTAATCTTAACCATTAAGAGTTGAATCTGTGTAATAATGTTTCTAAGTAATTGTTTGTTCAGATAATACATTTTTAAAAGTAAATTAGGTGCTAGGGTTGTAACCTTGAGGAAGAAAATAAAAACCTATAAAGGTTTTACTAATTTTTAAGTCAGCTATTAACCATCTCATTTTGTTTAATGATTTTTTCATGTTTTAGGATACTATTTAATAATCATGTATTACTTTTCTTAACTATTCTCTATGCTCTTTAAATCAGACAAAGGAAGGCTGGAGAGACGCCTCAGTGATTTAGAGTCCTTGATGCTCTTCCAAAGGATGGGAGTTCAGCTGCCAGCACCTACAGCTAACAAACTCCTATAACTCTAGCTCCAGGGCATCTGACGCCCTCTTCTGGCATCTGTGGGCACTGCACTCATGTACCTATACCCCCAGACAGATACACACACACACACACACACACACATACACACACACACACACACACACACACACAATTTAAAAATGAGGCAAAGACTATTTAAAATTATCTGTGTGTTTATATTTACCATCAATTCATCATAACACTTTCTCTGCAGTGTAAGAGGAATTGTACTTTATGATTAAATTCTGTATCATTTTAGACAGTGCTTTTTCCTATCAGTTCCAACTGTATTCTCCACTCACAATGATGTTCCAAGTAATAAAGCTTTGCAAAAGTTTTGATAGGTGTGTTTCTTACAGGATTGTAATTTTTTTATTTTAAGAAAATTGATATTTCTTAGTTTTTAATTAACTAAAATACTAAGCCTATAAAAATAAACAGTGGACTCATGTGTGAAAGTTCAACTATTGTTCCCAGTATAATATACTTTATTTTATATTAGGGGATGAAATGGACCACATTTCCTCCCTCTGAGCAACTACAAAAAGCTGCTCAAATTATGCACAGCTGTGCACTGAGACTCTCAGTGATTTCATATAGTTCAAAGAACTCTGAATCTATACAGGTGCTAAAATGAAGTAATATTCTGAATAAAATTAAAGCATTTTCTATCAGGGTCCGATGAATGCATTATGTTCATAAAGCCCAGTTTCTGAAAAATCTATGTGTGCTGCTTCCTGAACAAATAGGTAAAAATCTGTCTTGTTTAAGAAGCAAACATTTCAACCATTTCAACACCTTGATTAAGAAATGGCCATTAAATCGAACCTGTTCGCTATCAGGTTATAAAATGAACGAAGTGTCAGAAGCAAATACACATTAATAGGTGGGATAGTAAACATGAAATGAAAACATCTTTGCAAATTTGACACTTAGGAGATGGATTCCCATCACCCTCTGCCTTGCTGTGAAGTTCATGGTGGTCCTTGGGTAGGGCTGGGGAGCCTTCCTTTGCCTTTCCTTCCTAACGTGTCCAGGATCCTGCCAGCTCTCCAGGGAGCCGTTAGAAACAGCAGGGTGGTGCTGCTGGCAGGCGCCTCACGGCATCTCCAGGGAGGCCCGGTCTGAGACACTGAGAGCCACTGTGAACACACGTCCTCATTCCTAGTTTGTTATATGCTTGGGCCTAACGTGATGAGAACGAACACTGTGTGATACAGATAGCGCTCTGTGTTTTGTTAAGAAAATGTAGGTGTTTATCTATTGCACGTTTTATCTGAAATGATTTTAACTTTTAATCTTGGCCTCAAGGCAAACTAGTGGAGAACTTCTTAATGCTTATGTTAAAGGGTGCTACAATTTGTTTTCAGTCCTTGGGACATTTTTATACCACCATTAAATAAAAGCAATAATCACAAAGGAAATTAAACTACAAAGAAAATATGGTGAAGCCATGTTAACATCTGACCTGAATATATACAATGAAGGAAACACACGACTGCAGTTAGAGCTTGCTCTCTGGCCACCTACTGTATTTACAGCTCGGGGACATGGCGACCGTGTGTGGAGGATGTTCTTAAGCCATACTGACTCAGTATACTTGGACAGAGAGTGAAAGGAATGCTGGATTATCCCCCATGTTTTGTTCTCTTGAAATAAAGTTTGCAAGGTTTTACAAGTGTCCATGGTGCTAGAAACCAGAGAAGGCTTGCTAACCCCTTAGATGCGAATATAATAAATATCATTTCCACTGGAAATATATTTGCTCAACTGGAAAGAATCGAACACACTGTTAGTTCAAGCCACACCTGCCAACCTGTGGCAAATGAGTTGTGAATGCTAGGATGGGGTGAACACAGTGGGCCAGTTCCACCTGAAGCACGTCACAGACGGTACACTATTCATAGTCAATGTTTTCTGGGTGTTGAACTGCTGAAAATCAAGTATGTTCTCTATAATCGAGGTCTGTGCTTTGTGGCTATTGAACTGCTAACGACCAATCTAGGCCCATTGGGTAGTTGAAGACACTTCTCATACTTGGCAGACTGGCTAGAGAACTCTGTCCTCTTGGCTGTCTGTAGGATGCTAGGCCACTCCCAGGAGCTGATGATGGAGGAGTGTTCTGTTATGCCTCTGGCAAGAATCTTGCAGAAATATATGTGTCTTTGGGAAGGTTAATTTTGATGAAAAAGTACTTGATGATATCTTAGAATTTCCCAATCATTTGCAAAGATTTCTTTTACATGGATTTTCCCATTTAATTACATGTCCATCTTCCCCTGTAGATCAGATGAGCCAATTACTTGGAGGTTAGTTAATAACAAAAACAACTAGGAAAGTTACAACCAGAGTAGAAGAAAGAAAGGAAACACACAAGTCCTTTGTTTAAATATGTACTGTCATTATAAAACTTGGCCCTTATTCAAAAGCCTTGAGACCAGTATCTACAGACTGGGAAGATAACTCAGTAGGCTAGAGCTAAAGCTTTCCCAAGCATACAGGCCAGGGTTTGGGCCCTAACACCCACATAAAAAAGCCATACTAAATAACCAGGGAGGCCAAGACAGGCTTTCTATGTAAGGCTCACTGGCTTGCCAGCCTCCCAGGTCCCAGGGAGAGAGGATCTCAAAAAACAAAGTTGATAGCTCTTAAAGAACCATTCACAAGGTTGACCTTGGCTCCCATACTTACATGTGCACACCAATTATAAAAAAGAACAATTCCAGATGCTAGCAGCTGAATATTCCATGTCCATGTAAAAGGGAGCTATCCTACACAGAAAGATGCCTGGAAGCCATAGCATGGTGGCGATGAGGCTCATCAGTCCATGCTTTTCTGTATGCTCCAAAACTTTCACTCAACAGATGTTCAAGTCCTGAGAGGTGACCCTTATGGAAGTCAGGCACAAAGTCAGACTTAGGAGTTTTGTCAAATTTAAACTTTGGGGGGGGGGGAGGGCTCCAATTAGAGGAAAAATTCAAATAAAACATAGCATAGTTCACTGTGGCTCTAGCAAACATCACTGCAGCCCAGATGTTGGAGGGCATGAGTCTTCAGTGCCCACCTTCACAGAGACGGTTCAATTCTCACAAATCACGGAAACCAGTGAGAAACTTTCTTCTCTCTGCTGCCTTTCCCCAAGAGTATATAAGCTTTGTGTGTGCACCATAGTGTGCAGTGACTCAGATACCTGTCTCTCTGTTCAATGTGAGGTGTGTGTCCCACAAAACACCCAAAGCTGGGCCCAAGAGTCTCACACATTTCTACAAACACCCTAAAAAACAAACAAAAAAACAACAACAAAACCTGCTAGATGCTGTAAGCACGGCTTGTGTATTTAATGTTTTTAAATAGAAGAGAAACTGCTGCTGCAGAAGGGGCAGTACACTTCATGTTGGTCCTCACAAGACCTCCCAATTCCTTGGGAGTGTCTTGAAGCTTCTCAAGGCAGAACACACAAAGGTTTCTTCCAAAATGTCCGTATCGTTTGTTCCCCTTCCATGTAGACTCTAAACGGGTGCAGGCCTCCATTGTCAGTCAGCATTTTCCAACGAGGGTAAATAAAACTTGGACACGTGGAAGGAAAAATGTTTCCTCTTCCTCCAGACTTGAAAGGAGATGGGGTCCCTTCCCCACTTTTCTCATTAGCATTGTAGTATAAAAACCATCTGTGACAATTTAGTAAATTAAATACATTGGAGCAATAAATAAAAGATACTCTAATGAATAAAATACAGAAGACCCCATATGGCTGTCCATCTCTTTCTTGACAAGCAGCATGAGCAAGCGGCCAGCATGAGGAGGACCAGCCAGCAGCCTGGCAGGGAAGGCTGGTGAGCTGCCAGCCTCTTCCAGCTCTTGCTCTCATGCCTCCCTCACCATTAGTGACTATGCACTTGAACTATAAGCCCAGACAAACCCTTCCTTTCTCCCCTTTGTCAGGTGCCCGCCACAGCAACAGGACAAGTGAGTGATACACATGCCAGCTTCAGCTGTCTCTTACATCATCACCCCAGAACAACAAAACACAAGTAGACTTGATTTGGCCTATGGAGAACAAACTCACAGCCTAGGAAATACAATCACCTTTCTTAAAATCTATTACGAATTTGCCTTCTGCAGAAACTATTCCTGAAAATTTCTATTCCTCATCTCTGTTTTCCATTCCTTCCAAAGTTTACATGCCTTTAGACTACACAGCTAGTTGCTTTCTATGTAACTCGTGTATGAGTGTCTCACTTTCTCACCTATTTAGGAAGTATATTTTGCGTAAGGCAGAAGAATTCATCATGATTCTATGGTCCTTCTGTTCCAGTGCTAATCTTCCACCTCAGGGGCGTGTGCACATGTCACGTACCCTGGTGTATAAGGGTCAGAGGTCAACATTATGTGTCTTCTTTGATCACTCTTCCTTGTGTGTTTTGAGACCAGGTCTCTCACTGAACCTAGAATTCATCATTTGGCTAGACAGACTGACCAGAAAGACCCAGGGATCCTCCTGTCTCTATCTCCCAAGCTCTGGGATGAGAGATGCACATTGCCACGGCCCAGCTTTTTATTTAGAGATCTGAATCCAGATTGCCATGCTTGCACACAAGGGTTTTGCTGACAGAGCCATGTTTCTAGGCCTTTGTTCAAGGTTTTACATCTACTTTAAAAAGCAGTTATTAGAATAGTTAATTTTTGCGGGGCTCAAAAAACCGTGTAGGCAGCTAAAACTATATATAAAGGCTGTATATCCTGGGATGGCTGGCAGAACGTATAACACACGTCATATTCCTACTTAAATGGACAGTACAGAGTTCAAGGGGGAAATGTTCATCAAAGCAGAAAGGATCACTAGTGTACCGTTTGGAAGAGGTTGTCAGTCTCCCAGCATCAGGAGCCGTCTGAACCGAACGCCTCATTGCACTGCAGTTCCTCTGTCTTAAGAAAAGTGAGGAGGGAGGTGCAGTCTTGTCGACAGAATGCCTACCACCAGAACACCTTCAACACCGAACAAAAAGCAATTGCTGACTGGCATTTGAAGTTGGTGTTGTTTGAGCCATCAAAGGAACCTTGTAAAGAGAAAAATCACACACACTCTGTAGTTGGCATACACCTTTCCACACTGAGCTGAAGGAACTTGGTTTTGCTGAGTGATTTTCAATTTTGTTCTCCTCTGGGTTTCTAGAGAGCATGACTCTACACACACCACTCTGCTCAGGGGGAGTCCTGCTGCAGTACACTGTCATGGAGGTGGGTCTCCTGCAGGCCACAATGTGCTCCTGGGGGCATCACTACAGTCAGGGAAGCCTGTGGTGGGAGTGAGTGCTAGCCCTTGAAGCAGAAGTTTATAACACACCAAATCAGAGAGCCTTGTAGAGGGTTCCTCCTCCGTTCTTTAGTCTAAATTGATTGATTTCTAAAATTAAAGACACAGACACAGAGGAGGAGGGGGAGGAAGAGGAGAAGGAGGAGATAAAGAGGGGAGGATGAAGGGAGAACAGGAGAGAGCCGCTTTCTCCCCGCTCTCCATCTTCTCTGCCAAAGCTGCTGGCCTTGGTGCCTCCTTTTCCCTTTCCTTTTTTCTTTCATTTTTTTCTCTTTTTGTTTTGTCTTCATTGCTGTTGTGTGACACAGGGTCACACTCTGTAGCCCTGGATGGCCTGGGACTCACAGAGATCCGCCCGCCTCTGCCTCCTGAGTGCTGGGACTAAAGGTGTGTGCCACCGTGCCAGCCTCCATTTTTCTCCGCAGTCTACCGTGGTCTGCCTCCTCCTTCCTTCACGCCCATCAAACAGCTCCTAAAACAGCCTCCAAAGACCCTCTGGCTGAAGGGTCAATTGTTTCAATCTATTTGTCAAATGTCACTTGACACACTTATTTTTCCTTATGAGGCAGCAGCTTCTCCATCCACAGCTCTTTCTCCTGTCCCCACCCAGAGTTAGCTTCTCTTATACATCGAGTTCTTTTGTCCTCTGGCTTGCCTCCACGATTCCATTCCTGCCCAGTGCATTCTCCTCTGTGCCCTCTCCAGACAGCCTCTCCTCTGCTGTAGACTACCAGTGCCATCAGCTCACAGCTCTTGAGACACTGTAACTTTCCTTGGCATAGGCCTGTGCCTGAAACTTCTGACTTGTTATTTCTAAGCTTCTCGTTGATCCTACATGGTGTCTCAGAAGCATCTTTACCCTGATAACAGAAATGTGCTCCTTCTTAACCTCTTCCCTCCTTTTTGTGTGAGAAGCACTCTCCCTTTGTTACCTGTGTATCCAGTTAGTCATGGCTCTGGAGGGGCCCAGGGCTACCTGGGGAATCCACCCCTAGGGCAATGCTGTGTCACATCTTCAATCTGTGGTCCCTATCTTTGCTTTGTCGAGATTTGCCTGATACCTTCCTGTGACTTTTATCACACATAAATACAACTGCCAGCTCCTTTCTGGCCACTTCCTCTTTGTAAATTTTACCTCCCTACTTGCCCTTGTTCACGTTCTACTGAAAACTTTCTAAACATCCTGTTTCAGAGGAGCCTCAAGTTGGGAACAGGCTAGTATGTTTGCCTAGAAAGCTTACAATCCTGTGTACTGTGTAAACCACTCAGCTCCCTACACCTCACACTCTGCACATTTTCTTCTGGTGGCCATCGATCATAATGATGGAGGATACACCTCCCTTAGTGTTTTTCTCACTTTATGGGAGTTTATAACATGTAGAATCCTAATCAATCCTTGAGGCCTCTGAGGAACAGGAAACTTGCCTTATTCATCTTTTCCCTGGCATTTTAAATTATGAATAATAATAGATTGTAGAATATCTAACAACTGAATAGAAAAAAAAAGTGACCAGACAGACTAGCTGGTTGAGTGTTTGGTCCTCATTTCTGGTGCCATTGGCACTATATGCAATATTATGCAACTATTTCAATTTCAATTAAAATATTTTTATTTATGTATCCCTCTCCCTTTTCTTTTTCTTTCTTTCTTTGTGTGTGTGTGTGTGTGTGTGTGTGTGTGTGTGTGTGTGTGTGTGCATGCCATGTGTGTGCAGGTGCCTGCAGAAGCTGAAAAAGGGCATCATATCCTTTGGAGCTGAAGTTACCAGTGGTTGTGAGCAGGCAGCCTGACGTAGGGGCCCCTGGAAGAAGTGCTTGTAACTTCTGAGTCATCTCTCCAGCACCTACAACTATTTTCTTAAATCCCTTGAAAACTATTTTTCAGAGAAGCAGAAAATTATATAATAAAGCAACAATTAGAAAATCTACACAATTTCATAGCAAAGGAAATGGTTACTCTGAGCAACAGAAGAACCTGAACTCACTAACAGAAGAAATCCCTCTGTTGTTAGTTAACGGGTGAAATGAGAGGTGGGTCTTGCTTTAGCCAAGTAAGTCTCTTTCTCACTGGAAACATTTGGAAACGAGTAAACTACCTTTCAACCTGTGGGGTCAGTTCTGTCCACCCAACAAAGCACGGACATGTGCGTCATCATCATCCCCCTTGCAAAACCTCGGTGGGCCTGCAGCTACATGCAAGCTGCTGATTGTATAAGACTGTACGTGACAGTGAACACCTCAGCAGCAAGTCTAGACTACGAGGTCATAGTCAGAAATGTATGACCTCAGTGGGGGAGGGTGGAGATTGTGGAGACAGAGCCTGGGTCAGATGAACTTCTGAACGGAAAGGGTATTTGTGAGATCATGAAAAATAAATAAAGGAACAAGAAGAGAAGCATGTTAACAAAGGAATGATCAGTCATGATTCTGGAAGCCACTGGAGCAGAAAGCTATTCATTCAAATAGCCTGGTGCTGGAAGATTTCTGCCAGTTCTTGGGTGGGACAGGGAAAACTAACAATTTTTTAAAATGCAGATTAAGATCAATTTAAAAATTAGTTTTCCACTGATTGGGAAAAAGCTTTTTGTTTTTTCCTCTAGACAATAGGTGATATTGGATTGAAATGGCAGTGAAGCCTCTGGATAATCGAGATAGTTGTTTAGCTTGAACTATTTAGGGGGTCCCCAGGGAGTAGGATTGGGACCCATCCCTAATGCATGAGCCGGCTTTTTGGAGCCTAGTGCCTATGGTGAGACACTTTGTGAAGCCTTGGTGCAGGGAGAAGGGGCCTGGACCAGCCTTAACTGAATGTGCCAGGCTCTGCTGACTCCCCATAGGAGACATTGCCTTGGAGGAGGTGGGAATTGGGGAGGGGGAGGCTGGGGGGCAGGAGGAGGGAGGACAGGGGAATCTGTGGTTGGTATGTACAATGAATAGAAAATCTCTTAATAAAAAAATATAAAAAAGAAAAGAAAAGAAAACCTAGGATCCAGCCTCTGAAAGAAATACAAATCAAGAACTTCACAAATGGTAACCCAGTCAGAATCTCTCAACGTATCTGAACTCCTCTCTCTGCTTCCTGCAGCCAGCTTTCTGTGTGACACCTTTTCTCTCTGTGTCTGCAGTAATTACTCACAGCCTCCCTAATAATTTCTCTCTTCTTATTTGGAGAAAAGGGTGACATTACCAATTCTATTGAAACCAACTCCTGAAACCAAAGTCCTGAGTATGGCTACAGCCAAACTCTGCCTGCCGTGAGCCAAAGTTGGGCATCAAATGCATAGGGAACAGCAGTCAGTGCAACGTAGCATTTTGTGTTATTTTTGAATGTCAGCAAATGATTAAAAAAAACCTATTCTACTAATATTTCCACTTACATCCTTAAATTACCAATTCTGAACAGGAATATTAAATGGTAAGCTATCACTTGGAATTTATAGTGGGGGAAAAAAAGGCCTGGCCGTTGAACAAACTCTAATTGACTTAACTCAGGCCTTTGCCTCTGTGGCAGGAGAAGGCCTGATATTTTATAGGGAGATGTGAGGCTGAACTTGCTAGTGTCCAGCTGTTTAGAGTGCCGCTTCTAAATCCTTTATTTTTTCTTACTAATCTTGTATTGATTTTATTATACCAGAAGTTTTTCTCCCACTCATTTATATTCACAGTCCCCATGTTCTTCTGTGGGTGGTGAACCCCAAGTTCTCTGTCAAGCATATGAAGACACATGTTTCCTTCCTTAATGAGCTTTCCAGTAGGTCTCCATTTGTGATAAGATCAGTGACTCCATGATTTTAGGAACCTGGATTGATTTTCCCACTCTGGCTTATTCTTCTCTATATGTTGCTCTTTTGACGTTTTCTGCACCTCTGGATTTTTCATTCCATACACTTGACCAGCTATGTCTAGCTTCTCAGGCTAAAGCATATAATTGTGGTTTCCTTCAGAAAATGATGGTTGTGGACTGCCTCGGCCACCTCCATGGACTGTCTGTCTCGGCCACTGCTGTGGACCACCTCAGCTGCTTTTGATTGTGGCTGCAGACCGGCCTTCGAATACCTGATTGTCTCAGCTATAGTTTTTAAGAACTTAAGTTTCTTGTTCATTTGATTCTTTAAATAAAAATAATGATTTTTTATTAATAAAATTCCAACAAATAAAAAATATAAAAATCACCAGACTATTCCATACAAAGATAATTACAGTTGTTTTCTGAATATTTTTCTTTGCTCATATTCTGATATAAATTATTTTTCTAAAAAGAAAAAGAAAATGAAGTGGTGACTCTTGTCCTGGAAAGAGTCTAGAAGGGAGTAGTTGGCAAGGGGAACTCCAGGGTTCTTTCTCATAGACACCTATTTCTCGGCCTCACTCCAGAGCTTCGCATGGGTAAATCACATTTTTGAAATGAGGAAAGAAGAGTAAGGGACAAAATGTAATGCAAACCATTCACTGGTTTGCCAAAGGGCCTGATGCTTCATGGGGCCTTAATAGAGATGATAGATAGATAGATAGATAGATAGATAGATAGATAGATAGATAGATAGGTAAATAGATAGATATGGTGATATTGTTTTCCCCAATATATTGTGCACTCTAATAAATTTATCTGGGGTCAGAGAACAGAACAGCCACTAGATATAGAGGCCAGAAAATGGTGGCACACACACCTTTAATCCTAGTATTCCAAAGGCAAAGATCCATCCGGATCTCTGTGAGTTCAAAGCCACACTGGAAACAGCCAGGCATGGTAACACATACCTTTTTTATCCCAGGAAGTGATGGCAGGAAGCAGAAAGGTATATAAGGTGTGGGGAACAGGAACTAGAGTCTGGTTAAGCTTTTAGACTTTTAGCAGCAACTCAGCTGAAATTCATTCTGGATGAGGACTCAGAGGCTTCCAGTCTGAGGAAACAGGATCAGCTGAGGAATTGGCAAGGTGAGGTGCCTTTGTTTTTAATTAATAAGACCTTTTAAGATTTGTGCTACAGATAGATAGATAGATAGATAGATAGATAGATAGATAGATAGATAGATAGATAGATAGATAGACAGATAGACAGACAGATAGATAGATAATAGATAAGAAGATGATGAGGATGAAGATAAATAGATGACAGATGGATGGATGGATGGATGGATGGATGGATGGATGGATGGATGGATGGATATAGATGTAGCTATGGCTAGAAATATAGGTACAGATACAGATGTAGATACCAAGTCCTTGTATGTGTATGATGGTAGATAAACAGTGCTATGATTCACAAACAATGGGAGGTTCTTGTTCACATTCGGCAGGTGTTTGTCCACTATTTACTTGTTCCCTTCTCCTAGCACCGGACAAGCATATGGCTTAATGTCCTGGGCTTTCTTAGTCCCACATGCCACAAGCATCCATGCTTACCTTACTTTATAAGATGACAAGAAGATCAATAAGACACAGGTTCTGAAACTACTTTGAACGGAGTTTTTACATGAAAAAATGCTGTCATGTAAACAAAGAGCTTTTCCATGGTTGGTCTGTTGCTGTTAGAGACGTGAATGAAGGAATGAGAGACCAGTGGCAGGGATTCTAGGTGGCCAGTACACACTCGTTATTTTGATCTGAAGTAGAAAACTCTCAAACAGGGTGAGGTGGCTCAGTGGGCAGAGCTGGTTGCCACCAACCCTGAGGATCTAGTTCAATCTCCTGGATCCACTTGGTGGAAAGAGAAAACCGACTTTGGAATCTTGTCCTCTGACTTCTACGCACACACCATGGCATTCATGCACCTATACATATAAGCACCCAAAAAACCTGTAGATGTAATAGAAAATAAAATAAAACTCCTACAGACAGATCTGTCTACCCTGCTGGGCCTTACTGTTCACAGGACCACGTCAGCCACCACAGCCATTGTGAAGAGATGAGATGCGTCATGTAGGCTCGGTTTGTATGTGATCACAAGCTATGAATGCTCATGTTCTAGGGATATGTAATGACCCTTGTCTGCACTCCATGGCCCTCTGCCAAGGCCTCTGCACAACCAACCAGACAGCCACAAGAGAAAGATTTGCTGTTTGCAGACATGGCTTCCCCTCCTGCTCACGTAACACCTCCCACTCTCTTTGCTGTCCAGCGGCAATCATTACTCACCGAGTTTCAAGGAAGAAGCTACATGACTACACATGAGTAATAGTAATATCTACCATATTGCTTTTTCTTTAAGAATTGTTTATTTTTAATTGTGTGTGTGTGTGTGTTTGTGTACACTTGAGTGAAGGTGCCTGTAAAGGCCAGAGGCATCAGATCCTCTAGAGCTGGGGTTATAGGCAGCTGTGAAGCTTTCAGCGGGTGTGCTGGGTCCTCTGCAAGAACAATGCATACTATTAACTGCTGCGCCACCTCTCCAGTTCCTACTGCTCTTCAGAGAAGCTCACAGTAGCATGACTTGGCATATATGAATACATGTGTCTCATGATGACTGTTACAGTCATAAAATTAATACTAGACCCAGGTTTATCATATTTATCTAGAAGCTGCTATGTGTCCACAGTACAGTGACTGTTAGAACCATCTGGTATTAGTTCATAATCTTCAGAGTTTAGCAATCTTTGGAGGTGAGGACTTGAAACTCGAACATGAATGTCCAGTCCCTAACACTGCAAGGACTGTAGCCTTTGTTCTATCCTGAAAATCTGTACACCACCCAAACCCAAAGGTCGAGAATGCAGTGATGAAGACAAGAGCACTTGAAGGCCTGTAGGACACAACTGGACCATGGAGTCAGAACACTCACAAATGCGACTGTAAAAGGGCCTCCTCCTCCTCCTCCTCCTTCTCCTCCTTCTCCCACCTCACAAGGACAGAGTGAGAAGTTTGTGAGCCAGGATGCACATTCTCTCCAGGCCCCTAATCCACAAATGTCGTTATCTTAGACTTTAGAACCTGGAGAAATGAACTGTGCTTCATAAGCAATCTAGCAATACTTTCTCATCAGGACCGCCAGCCCACAATAATGACTCTGAGACTTATTATTAATTATGAAAGCTTGGCCTTTAGCTTAGGTTTGTTTCCAGCTAGCTCTTATAACTAAATTAACCCATATTTTTAATCTACATCCTGCCATGTGGCTCTTTATCTTTCCTCGGTATGGCACCTCTGATTTGCTCTGAGTCTGCTGGTGAAATCTGTACAATTAGATTCTTCCTCCCAGTTTCTCTCTCTGCGTGGAAGTCCT